GCATAACACAGCTCATTGCTCTGAATGTAAGTTGACTTTTTTATGTGATTTCACAGCAATATTTACTGTGCATGTGAACATTTCATCGGAATAAAATTACATGTAAATGAAAAATACCGCTGTGTCTTCTCTGTGTGTGTTTGTACGGTAATACTGAGTGCTCATGCATTTAGGGATTTTCATTGTAAATTGTTCAGTGAAATGCTACAGCATACTAAGCAAACACAGCAAAATTAAAAAGGTAAACAAGATGTGTTAAACTCTTGTACACAATTTATTTCTGTGAGTATACAATATTGGAAACAATTTTGAAAACAGCTTTCTTTTTTCTTTTTAATATTATTCAGTAAGCTAAAAATGTATCATTTAACCTTGTGGATAAAGCTTCAGGCAGACATAAGTGGTGTATTTACCTAAATATTGATTCTGTATCCCATCATAGGAGGAAATTAAGTCATTCAATGTTGACATTTGAGTGACCAGAAAACCACTGAAAGTTGTATGGTGGTTATATCCCCAAGCCATGAGCTCATACACGCAGCACAAACGTGTCAGTTGTGTTAAAGTTTAAACTGTGGTTATGGGTCAGGGCCATCAGCTGGTTCAGCATGATAGAAGATGCTAAAGTAAGGTGGTGACGATACCTTTGGGAATAACAGTGAATGTTGAAAAATGCTGGGCCTTAAATGTTTCGAGCAGATCAAATTCATCCAAGAAAATGTATATTTATAGATTTTTAACATCTATTTTAGTAGTGATGCATTTAATTATTTGATATTTCACTTTGTTTTTTGGATGAAGAATTAGTCATACAGTCTAGATTTATTAACTGTAGTGTTACACAGTTTCAGTGTTACATAATGTTTATCTAGTTTTGAGTGCATGGCTGCTTATTGTTGAGACTATTTCAGATCAATATATTTTAGTTGAGAGTATTATTGGTGCTAATGCTTTCATTCTGTTCTTCACAACTTCGATAATAGACAGGTACCATCATTCTCAAGCCCAATCTAAACCTGTAGTTTAGAGTTTTATGTGATGTTATACCTGTAAATGGACTGCCGAGGTTTGTGCTGTTTTGTGGATCAAAGTTGTGTCTATGTTGAAGGGTCCAATGGTTATAATCAATATTATCTTCATACTTGCACACTTAAAAGAACAAAACATTTATTAAATATAATATAAGTCAATATACCTTTCGCTGTGAGCTGCTTGGTTTCAGTGTCTTTCAGCATAGTTTCTATAGCTTCCTGTTTTTCTTTCATGGCAACAAACTCTTTTTGAGGAGTCGGGGCAGATCCATAAAGAAATATTTTGTGACTCATTCCCAAGTTAAAGGCTAAATTCAGGACACAGCAGAAAAACACTAGCAGACAAATGGAAAGCTTGATTCATGCTGTGTCCTCCGCTTTGACTCATTTGACTACTCTGGTTGCTTTTATCTGGGTTCATCAATGATTACCTTGTGTTACTGGCTGACTTTGCAAACATGTTTCTTGTGTTTTTTGGCAGTAAGAGGCAGAGGATTTTGAAGATTTTGACATTTTATACATTATGTACTTAGCCTGATATAAAGTCACATAGTTTTCCTGGAAACAAAGAGAAGTTATGTTTACTTTCAAAACACATTGTATGTAACCTTCTGAGCATGACTTAATGTATGCAAGCACAATCAGCCCATAAATTCAATAATTGAAGCCAAATGGCTTCTTGCAAGTTCCCAACAAAGGCAAATGTGAGGTTCCTTGTTCACATTTATTCTCATATTTTAGTGGCATCTTTCATTTTCTGAATGTTTAATTGTGTTTTAATTAATTAATTACCTTCAATTTACATCTATTTGATATGTTTAGTTGCTAGCTACTAATACAAAATCTAAATCAATGATAAATGATGATATATTGTTAAAGATAGATTAAGCTACACAGCAGAATATTTAGTATTTAAATTAGCTCCATCTTTACCAGGTGCAACATTAAAGTGGTGTACACTACTTCCTCATCACATCACAATACAGTTCTACATTTGAAATGATTTGATTTATTATTATTAGACATTCAATTGTACAGTTCCAATATGACTTAGCCATGTAAAACTTAATTTCCTCTTTAATTTAATTGTGCCTGCATTTGAAATTCCTTCACATATGCAACATAGCTGTCATAGTAAGACTTAGGAGAAGAAAGTGAGAATAAAGTGCTGAGTACTGGGTGAGAATATATTATGCTTATTATATTTGCTTGACTAGTTAGAATTATTATGACATTTTATATTTAATAATTACATTTAGTAATTGAATAATACAAATATGCTTAAACAAAGCCCTTCTACATTGCCCACAGACCTGAAATCACCCCTACACCACACACACACACACACACACACACACTTCATATTGCAATAACAACAACAAACAGCTTTGGTTTTAAAATATTTTTGTCTTTCATGTTTAATATGAGAGCAGAAACAAATTATTCTGTATTTTTTTATTATCTGGTTCTTTAATAGTTTTCCAAGATTGTAATAATCTTAAGACTGTCCAGTGAGTTTAGGTTTATTCTCTTTAAAAATAGTACAAGAAAGTGTTTCTTCTCTGCATCAAGTAGAAAACATGTAATTGAAACAGGATTACAGTAAATTGAAGAAAATGAGAAAGGGATGAACCCCAGTCTGTGACATTAGGTAGAAAATGTCAAGGAAGTTAGCCTCTGTTAGCCTCTGCTCACATTCACTGTGGACCACCGAGGTGTGAGACTAGCATATTTTAATACCGTAACAAAGGACATATAATGCACGAACATTTTAAGCTGTAACCCTGTTCATCAACAGGGATGCAAATCCTTTGCTTCTTTGAAAAATCTCCTTCCCTGACTGAGTGAAAGTTTCCCATAGGGTCATTATATTTGTCCCTAACAGGAAACCATACAGGAAGCAAACAGACACAAAGTGTGTTTGCTGCAACATGTTGACAAAATGACTTTTGGGTTTTGCCGTAACTGACTAGATCATAGTGAAGTAGTGAACATTTATTCATCATCATCATCATCGTCGTCATCATCATCATCATCATCATCATCATCCGTTCATCATCATCATCATCGTCATGCATCTCATCATCATCATCATCATCGTCTTCATCATCGTCATCGTCATCGTCGTCGTCGTCCATCATCATCATCCTCATCATCATCCATCATCATCATCATCTGGGTCGATCTTTCCAGACAGAACATCCTCAATCCACTGCTCGAGCTCGTCAGCTGAGGGCATGTCATCGTCGTCATCCATTTCCATCCACACGCTGTCGGCCTGCCAAGGATGGACACACGTATTTACAAAATGACATAATGATTTTCAGTTCAGACTTTGACATCTCAAAAACATCTTGAATCCAAAATGTGAGCTATAACAATAACTGATGTCCTATGGTCAAGTTAGAGTGTATCTACAATTTAAGTGATGACACTGATTAAGTTTTTCTCTATTTCTATAGTATGTTGAAGAAGACGTTTTTTTATTCAATGTCAGTTACCTCTTAAAGGTAACACACCCCCACAGTATCGGGATCAATGTATTGGCACTTCAAATGACTTGAAATCAGTTTTTCACTTTAAGTTTTTGCAAGGGACGATTAAGGTTGCTTACGTCCTCGACATCAACCACACCAATCTGAGGAGAAGAGAGGTCAATATGGAAGGTCCTCTCCCAGTATGGCACCAGCTGAAAGAGACAAACGGAAGATCATGGTTAGGCTTGTACATTTATGAATGACATTCGGAGCAGTTGTTTTCGTCACATCTTCATTTGGATTTTTTTTCAAACTTTCTGCTCATGTTCCAGTCATTAAACTCTCCTGTCATTTAAGATACCCAACATTTTTTACCTGTCCTGGAGTTGCTCTTAGTGTGCTCCTGCTGTTCTTCATTCCTTTATTATACCAGCCCTTTTACCCCAGTTATTTGCCATATCGTGTTATGTACTACCCAGTCTTAGCAGTGCAGCACTCCTTCATGTTTCATGCCTGCTCTGCGTCTGAGTCCTGCTTTTAGGTTTTTGTGTGCATAACTTTTACAGTGTTAATTTGAATAAATCATTTTGGACACTGTAAACTGGGATTGTAAATGAGAAGTAGTTTTTTTTAAAAGATGTTACAAGAAACATTAAGACAACAAAAGATCAACAGGATTTTACAAACCTAATATGCAATATTATACATAAAAAGTGCACACTGCAGTTTTCGTACCAGGGGGAAATTGTCAGGGTCGATCCAGATGATGCTGAGGTTGGGGTTATCAGTGTTCTCGCGTGCCACCTCCTTCAGGATTTCCAGGAATTCAAAACCGTCTAAAAAAGTTAAAGAGGTCAGGTACAGTAATGCACATGGTACCATAAAGTATTAGCTTGATATTTGATTGATTTACCTGGGTCATCTTCCTCAGCAAAGGCAACAATGTGCTCTCCATCAATGTCATCCTCCTGTGAACACAAAAAGGGGGATAAGAAAAGGTTGTTTGATATTTTGCCTTTTTTTTAATTATAGTGAAATTTCAAATCTCTTACCCAGATCTCGTACATGCTGTGAGGCTCAAGCTTCCTCAGAGTGGGCCTGAAACATTAAAACTGCGACTTATAGAAAAAGTTATTTGAAGATATACAGTATAAAGGACTGTTTTGTTTGTCCAGTAATGGTACTTTGTGATTAGAAGGCTGAAAGTAGATCTTCATCAAACTTAAGTGTTTTCTAAGACAACCCATATGACCATTCCAAAAGTCTCATCTCTGTGGTTAAGATCCAACAATGATAATCAGCATGGGATTATGTAAATGATGTCACCTAAGAAGGATTTATTGGTCATCATAGATGCTATTGATGTTGTCTTAGTATCACAGAGGGTCTCACCTGTCATGCTGTTCTATGTATTCAACAAGCTCAGACTCAATGTAGGGCTTTCCTGGAATCGAGACAGGTTCCTCCATGAATGGTTCATAGAAGTCAACTTCATTCATCTTCAGCTTCAGCTTCTTGGCAATCTGAAATAATGTTAAAAGAAAACAGAATCAGAAAGGAAATACAGAGTGAAAAGAAAATTAAAACAAAAACTAAAAACATTTGTATTGTTTCAAGCCCAATACATTGCTTTTTCAACTCTGATATTCAGCTTTTCTTTCACTCTACTTTACTGTATTTACTTTATTTGACAGGGACACTGCAGTTTAATGATTAATTATACACAATTGAAGAAAGACAGATCACTGCAGAATAAAGTTGTGCAAATTTGATTTGAGATATAGAGCCTTCAGGTTATGTATGAGACCAATGACACAAAGACAGATGATTGCATATACACACAGTAGACACAAACAAACATCATCCACCATCTGTGCTTTTGACAGATCCTTCATGCCTCTGTCTTTGTCCAGGAATCAGCAGGATGTGTTGACCTGTTAGAACCAAAGATACAGGACTTAGCATGACACAAACCAAAGCTTGACACAGTAATGAGACATTAATGGGCCTCATGCAAGAACAAACAACAAATAAAACACATTTTGTCTTACTTTTATTCATATCCATGAGTTGTTCTTTCCTCATTGAAGGCACTGTGTACCAAAGCCCTAATATCTTCAAAGGACATACCCTGCACAGAGGCTGGATATGGCTGCAAGGCCTCACAGCATTTCTACAGTGGGGATAGACAGACAGTCAGAGTGAAGTTACCAAGAATAAAAACATAACCTGAGAAATATAAGAGTACCCAGTCAGGAGACAATGCAAATTATGGATGCAAAATGTGAAAGTCAATACAAGCAAAATAAACACAGTGACTGAAGAAATGTTCTGCACTCAAATCATCAGGATTACCTCCAACTCTTCCGAAGTGCTCAATGTATAAAAATTGTGAATACAGAAGTCCTGGCATGTACGCGGATTACTGGGACCATGATGGTTTTCTGAAGGCAAATAAAAAAGTGAGGGTAATGTTAATGGTAACTGCATTTTGTTGTCTTAGTACTTGTACTTTTGCAATAACAATGAAGTTCAATCTAATCTAATCTAGTGATATTCTGAAAAGAAACACATCTACTGACAATTTGTAGGTGCATCTGTCCCATATCCACTCCCTGAACCTTGAAGAGTTGAACCGTTTGACATACAGTAGCAGTTATTGAATTGTTGAGTATCTAAACAAATGAGTATTGTTTTTGTCTTTCTGTAGATGATATTCATTCATCAACGTAACAAAGTGTATTGCTCTTTAGTAAAAACCTGAAGAGAGGTAGATGGCAGGCTTTAGTGACTGTATATCACAGTATTCTTGGAAGGCTGCATGAATTTGTAATGGCCGCAGTGTCACTATGGTTGAATAAGTTAAAGACCGTTGAGTGCAAGAAAAACATGCTGGTTCACTCATGCTTGGTGCTCTGTGTTAGTTCGTAGCAGAAGGTTTTTCTTTCTCATAATACTAATGTGTTATTTCACTCCCCCCCCCCTCTTTATAATGAACTGAACAATTTGACATAACAGCGAGTCAGTTCATGTAAAACCACATACAAAAATACAATGTTCATCACAAATGTGATGCACGTTAATAATTTTTTTTTATCATCATACAAATCTAAAGGAAAATTAACTTACCTTCTGGTATTGGCGTGGTAGGGGGCACTAAGTGTAGAAGATCTGGACAGTGAACAAGAAGTGACATTTGTTGCTTTGTGTGTGTGCAAAATCTGTATGTGTATTTTTTATCTTAAACACAATATTCACAGCACTCATTCACAAACACTGCCTAAATACTCACAAAAACCCCTGGTCAGAGCCATCATGGCAAAAACAAGTACAGACACAGCTAGCATCTTCATGGTGAAATTGCTGCAGATGTCAAAGATGATGACTTTGAATAAAAACAAACAGATATATTAATCAGACTTTTTATTGGGAGAAACTATGACTCTTAGTGACTGTCAAGCCATTAAATAAAGGACAGAAAATAATAAGCGTTAGTCACAAACCTGTTGCAGAATTATCTTCTCTTCTTCCTTCTCAGTGTCAGTCTGAGGTATTGAACAGGAGAAAGTCTGTCTCTTTTATACAGTTGCTTATGCAATCCTGCTATCCCAGAACCAGGAACTGAGGGTACACCCATGGACAACAAACTCACAAAATGCAAATATGAATAAACATAACATTGTTTTCTGTATTTGTTTAGTGACAGAGTATGCTGAGTCTCGTGAAGCAAAAACTGATCAGGTATCAATATCCAAAGAAGGATTTCCCACTCTTCCAGTTCATTCAGGAACAGAAGTTCTATCAAAAATTGCAAAATTTCAGAATAGAAGTTTAGTAACATAACTGAGAACATAGTTAACCATTTAAATGGATTGAATTTAACAAAAAAAGAACACGTCTTTATGAAATGTTGGAAGACCATGAGCCGCCATTACAGCTTCATTGGTATTTTCAGGATTCGTTCAGTACCCAAAAGCAGACTAGAGCCGATGGTGAAAGTTAAGAGGTTTATTCAGACAATAAACTGAATGAGAAGAAGAATGAGCTGAGGGGATCGGGGCTGGGTCCAGGTTCTGTTGGGGAGGGAGTAGTAGGAGAAGCTGGCAGAAGAGGCGAGGTGGAGGAAAATCCAGACGGCCGTGCAGACTGGCAGGGAAGACAGATAATCCATTGGGACAGGGCGAATCTCCTGAGGGCAAAAAAGGCAAAGTCGTGAATAAGACAAACATGAATACAGAATAAAATTAGACTGATATCCGAGGCTGGTGTGAAGCGTACACATGTAACACAACAATCCAGCAAGGATGGTGAGTAGCTGCCAGGTCACCTAAATATGTGGCGGCGATGAGGGATGCAGAAGCATGTGCTTGATGGGAGACAGAACAGGTGTTTGATGCCGTTCATACGATACTATAACTGTGACAAAAGTCTGTTCACCAAATTAAATGTTTTGAGCAAGCTGTCATGCATGACAGTGCAACTAAGTTTATTGCTCTAAACTTAAGTTCACTAACAACGACCACGCGCATCGAATGTATTGAAATACGAAAAGTTTATGCCATAATGAACAAATGTGGTATACTGAGGGATGAGGGATAAAGGGATGAGGGTTAGGGTCGAGGGATGAGGGATGGATTGAGGGATGATGGTAGAGTCGAGGGATGATCTATCGAGCGAAAGAAAATGCGAACCAAATTGTCCATCTGGAAGGAGTCAGTAGAGGATGGTGGCTGAAGATGTGGGACTGGAGTTGGAACGGTGTCGGAGGCTAGTGCCGATTGTATGAATTTATGTAATGAGAAGCGAGAGAGCGTGTCGGCGATTGAGTTTTTCGACCTGGGATGCAAGAAGCTCGGGTGATGAATTAATGCTGGGCTGAAGCTAGGGTAAGCTTCCATGTGAACTGTGGCGTGTTAAGGCAGTGGGACTGGTCCCTTGTTTATGTTGTCGAATGGTGGTGGTGATTTCCTTGGACCATTGGAGACCCCAAAGAATGACTGCTATGATTACTGGGTACGTTTCGCGGATGGCAGAGGAAGCAGAAAGGGATGAGAATTCAAGCAGCCACTTGGCTGAAAACCACCTGCCACAATTCAGCAGCTTCGGTGGAAGGTCCTGCATCTGTGGATAGCTGGACGTGTTCCAGCTTAGTGGTGTGGTTGTCGTAAAAGAATAAAATACTATGACGTGGTGGGAGGAACTGGTGCCATGATTTGCATGCGTTGTCTGTCGGATTGATCCCTAATGTAGGGAACGTTGGACTGGGGAATGGGCCGATGGTGAATGCGTCTCAATTTCTCTATTGGGTAATTTATCCACTATGGCAGGGCTCAAAGGTGGCTGACAGTTGTGGCATGTATGAGGAATCTGGCGTGACCTGTAAACCTAGGTAAAGACCGTATGTAAATCTTTGAATGAGGTGTCGATCTGGGTGGCTCTTCGAGGCAGTGGCAAGAGCGTTGATATTCAGATGCTTATGCAGGCTGTGCTTAGTTGGAATATGTGGACATGCGGGTCTTGCGCATGCTCCGAAACGAAAGGAGCAGGTGAGGAGCAAACGGCAACTTGAGACATTGCTTCTGAGGTTCTGGGATGAGGCGCCGCGCTGGTCGTGATTCAGAGAAAAGCGAGCTGCGAGAACACGGCAGTAGAGTTCCTGATCTAATGGGCCGCCTTAAGTTACCTGATTGAATTGTTGCAGGCGACCAGCAGCTTGGGATGCGAAAGGAATATGGCATGTGTAGGTTCCCTTGCTCCTGAGCCGCTAGGTCAAGTATCAGATGCGTGTAACCGTCCAGCTCTGATCTACGGTCGGGCAATGATGGACGAATTATGTTGCGCTACGAGGGGAATGTGAAGGTGAATTGTACTGCGATGTGTTCTTTAGAGCAGATGAAAAGTGGCTGTTTGCATTCAAGGACTAAGTGCGGTTAGCGGTTCTCTGTGGATATGAGGGTTGCATGTGGACGGATGTATTGAATAGTGAGGTCAATGCCTATACGTCGGAATACTAATGTTACAATGAGGGCTCTGAAATAAAACCAATAAACAATTACCTGTTGTAGGGCTTCCTGGTTGCCTGGACTAAGAGACAAACTGGTATTTTGGATGAACATGGAAAGATATATTGCGTTTTAAGCATTTGCCATGAAAGATTATTTATTGTTAAATAAATATTAACAGGGAAGGAGAGGAGACCCCGGAACAAAGGGAGGGTCGGGTCCCTGTGGGCCGAAATGAAAGCTGGTATGTTCGGACGGATGTATTGGATAGCGAGGTCAATGCGTACGAGTTTGTAAACTGATGTTACGATGATGACTGAAATATAACTTAGCTGTTGCAAGATTTCCTGCTTGCCTGGACAAAGATGAATTGGTATTTTGAACAAACATGAAAAAAAAAAATATTGCGTATACATTTTAAGAATTTGCCATAAAAGATTATTTATCGTTAAAAAACAAAGATGTAAGTTAGGACGGAAGAGAGGAGCTTTCCTGGAAGTGCGTGGAAAGTTGGAAAAGTTTCGCTTTGTTATCGGTGCCGCTGAGAGAGGGCGATCATCTTCAAACATGTTGCTGTCTGAAGGGTTGAGGATGAGCGCGTTCTCTGTGGTTCGAGGTATTCGTTTTTGTGTTTCCTGTCTGACGTCGATCGCGTGAAAAATTAGTCAAGGAGGGAGTAAACGGATAAAGTGTGCTTCAGTAAGTTTTGAGCGGAAATGAGATGATTGCAGGGCGTGGTCTTGTTCCCGAACCTAGTTATAAAACCTAAATTTAACTATTTTATGTGATTTCCCTAGACCTAGGTTGCAAGAGAAAGTGATTATTATTAAGACAATAATTTACATCAGATCATGTTTTAACATAATTACTTGCATTTCAGTATTGTTATTACTTTTTCAAGTTCTTTAAGGGATAACATTTTAAAAGTAAAATTACATTGCTGACCTTGTTGTTTTATATGAATTTAAACTTCCCCTTTATTTACATTTAAAATAAAAAAACAAATTCTATTTTTAAAAATGAATTTTGTTTAGTGCAGAATGATAGCAAAGGTCAAAGGTTCAAAGTGTGCAAACAGTATATAAGTTACAAGTACACAAGTTATTATCTTGTGCGCACAAGTTACTTATCTTATGGCTTTATAGGCATATGTTTGCTGATTTCTCCACTATGTTTGAAACATTGCTGTGTTCATTGCTTTATTTAAGCAGTCAATTTGCTGTAATTGATGGGTGAGCTGGTTGATAAGATAG